GAAGAATTCGAAGATCTGCGTACGTCACATGAACTTCAAAATTCTACACTCTAAAATCGGAGTTTAACAACATTTTTTATGGGATTTTTTTCAGTAAAACAAACAATTATTTTTACTCTGTTACTTAATGCTATTGTTATAATTCTCCCCCAAAGGTTCTTTTTGTTCGCCCCTTTCTGCCTCTAGCGACCGCCAGCCACTGAGACGTGAGAGCCCCACCCATACCACATACCACTCCCCTTCCCCCAGTGGGCTCCACGCAGCGGGACGAGCTGGGATAATGAACGGCCTTATATGCAGTTCTGTTTCTGGCGGGTCGTAAGAAAAATTACCAATAGGGCGTTATTTTGTTTAATAGTTTCCTGTCTGTGCGAGCGAGCAGAAATGTGGCCCGCGCGGTAGCGCGCCCTATACCCCACCAGCGTTCGCGGCACAAATTCTTTTTCTCCCTCCCGTTCTCTCATTTCCTCTGCCTCTTCTTTTATCAGCTGCTATCGCCTTCTCCTTTATTCCCTGGCTGCTCTTCCATCTCCTTTCTTGCGTCGTGGTGGTTATTGACCCTCTTCGGCCCGTATGCCGGTCCACTGACCTGGAACTCTGTGCCGTGCTTTGCTATGTAAGGGATGCGCCCCGGGACACAGGCCTCTTGGTGTTTGTGTTTGTGTGTGAGAGAAGGAATGGAAGAGAGGGAGAGTGCAGGCGTGAGTGGGGGCGGAGTATGTTCTTTTTGTCGCCGTATCCGATTCACTTCCATTAATTTAATGGCTGCTTTTTTACCGTTTTTCGTTTCCGTTTTTATCAATTTTCCGCCGAAGAGCGGTATGTTCTGAGCGAGGTTCTGCGGCTGCGAAAATCGAGACACTTTATAGGCGGTTATAATAATAAGAGGAAGTGGGGGGGGAGGAGAGAGATGGTAAGAGGTAGAAGAGGGTGGGTGAAGATGAGCATGTTGCAGGGTAGATCCGATTTACATGCAGCGTCGTGCACCCGGCGTGAAAACTTGTATATTAGAAATTAGCATTTTGATAGTAGAATCACGTCTCGCGTCACGCTACTACGACCGTGTCTCGCCCATCCGCCCCCCGGCGGTGGCGGTAGGAGCGGTGCGTAGCATGGCGGGGCGGGGCGGGGCGCTTGGCGAGGAGGGTGGTCCCCAGCCTTCCTCCCCAGGGCAGGCATAAGAATACGCGCCCCAAGACAAAGTACACGAGGGGGCCGCGCGGAGGAAAGATAGGAACAGGAAAAATAAAATTGGACGTTTTATTTTCAAGCCTATTTTCTTTTTTAATTGAAAGGAATGAACGCATTTTTTTTACCCAACCTTTGTCGGAAAAGTTTAAGCTATATAATGAAGTGCTTGTCGTTTATCTCTCAAGGTGTCTGTGACGAAAAAAAATATTCCTAAAATGGGGCACACATTGGGGACCACCGAAATTCTTGTTGGACTCCTAAAGCTTCTATGCATTAACGCAGCAGTCGGATTTCCGATAACGTAAGTGTCTGATCCCGTCACGCAGTCACGCTCCGGGCCCCCTCTACTTCATCAAGATTTTCCTAGAACTCTCTTGGTTATAGCTTGGAGGTACAGTCGATTATTGCACCTTCACTAGAGAGCAAGCACAGCACCACTCCATACACACACACACAAACTGAAAAGGTTTGTACATAGCCACAGCGCATTGTCTCGTGTTTCGGTGCTTTAGTATCCTACCTGTTTCTCCTGATTGCCTCCACCCTTCCCCCCTCCTCTTCTCTTCCGCCCCGAGGGGGCAACAACTCCGGGAATCATGTGTCCACCTGCCTGGGAATAATCGGGGGAAAATCAATTGAAATCAACTGAAATCGCTTAAACCAAGCGGGAAACTAGTTAAACGCGTTAAGTCCGTGGGGGGGGGGGGGGGGGGGGGGGGCTGGAAACACATGTTATTGTGACCATACGTGCGGTCACGTGGGACTCAACGTGTTAACTAATACAAATTAGTCTAGATAAGTGTTTTCTACCACTAGAAAACTTAAGAAATGAACATAGGCGGACGGGAATCAGTGGGAGTCAAGTATTTTAGGAATCATGTGTACACATCAAAAGGGAGTTATTGCCCCCTCGGTCCACCCTCCCCCGACTTCCCTGTCGCCATTCTTTCTGTTCCTTTCCCGGCCGCACACGTGGCCAAAGGAAAGTTTTTACGTGAGGTGAAGGCAGAAAGTACTTTTTGCGTCACTCAAATCCTCTCTGGTCGTGTCCGCGGCGGCTGGGCTGTTTAACTTTTATATTCAGTTGCCAAACGTTATATTCGCTTTCCCGAACAGTTGCGTTGCCAGGTGGCAGCAGGTGGGGCGAAAGAAGTGGGGGGGGGGGGGGGGGGGGGGGGGGGGGAGAGAGGAGGGGGGGGGGGGGGGAGGAGTCGGGAAAGGGCGCTGGGTTGAATCACGGGAACAACAGCCACAGGCCTTTTGGCGACACCTTGCTTTCGCTTCGTACGTATCCCGAGGTCCAAACTTGCATGCAGAGTACTGTTCGATTATGTTTTTCGCGCGCACACTTAGTAATTGCGTTTTAACAGAAGGCTCCCTCTTTTGCACCAATACAAATCTATTTCTGCCGCAACACCAAAAAACTGAGTTCTTGGAGCTTTGAAACATCGATGATCAAGTGCAATGTACTTCCAAGAACTCAGATTTTGGTGTACTCTAGCTTTATTTTAAATGCGTGTTAACAACTAGGAACGAATTATTAAGTCACGCCTCTTGATATTTGTGTCTGAGGGCTATTCCGGCCGAGCAAGGAGAAAGATGTTATTCGCAAGGGGAGTGTGTGGAAGGATGCGAAGATCGGGATTCTCAGAGGATGCGCGCATACTTGAGCTCAAGTGATGGATTGCTTTGTGGACTCGGAAGAACAAACCCCCTTCCTTCAAACGCCTCTATCGTGCCCCTTGTCTGTCTCTCCCACACACGGCCCGGCCCGATCGTTGCCCGCGGCCCGACTCCTGTATTCTCTACCCGTGTGCCCCATTCCTCGTGCAGGCAGTAGCCGCCCAGCCCAGCTGCCAGCCAGCCGCACAGTCCTGGTAGTCGCGATCGGTTCTCTGATGCTCTCTCTCTATTATTTTTGCAGGATGCTGCTGTCTCCGATTCGCGTCGCCAGAGCGCAGCACCGGCGGGAACACGTTCTGCTGAGGTAAGACACTCTGTCTTATCGGGAATTGCGTCTGTGCCAGGATTGAAAACTGGGAGCGGGAAACAGAGGGAGGGAGGGAGGGAGGGAGGAAGGGGGCCCGCCACGTGGCGAGTTTGTATTTTCCAATCCGATTAACAAGTGGACGGTGGCGCTGAGGAAAAAAGGGACGACGAAAAAGTTTTTGGAAACTTTAGGAAACAAAAATAATAATTGCAATAAAATAATCTTCAGGAAACAAAAGAACGGAGCTAATTCCGCAAACATTGTGGAATACTTGAATCGCCTTCCGCCGGCTGAACCCAATGCTGCCACCCTTGCGCTTCGCGCCAGTTAGCGCCGGTTCCGGTAGGTACGGGCACATTGTAGTAGAATTTTAACGCTCTCCGAAATTATTGTGTCGGACGAGCGGCATCGATAATGTGAAAACATTATTACCAATCTGCGGGTGGCTCGTCCTGTGATAGCGAAATAATCCTCGCTCACAGCTCGGTCACGGTTTGTCCCTGCTATAATACCTGTAGTAAGTGCTTACTTGCCCACCTATGCCCATTCCGTTCCTCCCCCGGGTTGTTGTTTTTTTAAACATGTTTTCCATGTCCGATCACAAATGCTCTTCGTTTCTAGCCCTTGTCTTTGCCAAAAAGTGATAAACACTCTTAAATTTCATAAACGATACTGATTTTTTGTTCGCTCTCTGTTAAATCCGTACGAAGAAAAATGCCAAATCCTTCGCAGGCTTCGTAGGTAGTACGAAGGATATGGCACTTTGCTTCGTAAGGTTTTAACTATGCTTAGTGGAAAAATGCTATACATCTGAGCAGCATAGAGCAGCGCCTTGCGCCTTGAATCCTAAAATGTGTCATGCTCGTTGCATCATGAACCTCTAAAAAGGAATATCAGCTCGACCTGTGCGGTGCGTCGGCGCGCCTCCCTCCCCCTTCCCCTATAAGGGTGTGGTGTGTACACTCACACACGGGGGCGCTGGGCGACGGACCGCGCGAGGCTGTTGAGGTTAGCGCACTCGGGGAACAATGGCCATCCCAAAACGGAAATATACATGCGAGCATGCGGGCATCGCAGGGGCCTCGCAAGGGCCTCCCCTTTCCCCACTGAGCCTCGGGGCTTCCGGAGGGGACACTGCAACACTTGGGTCCTTGTTGAGGGCGCGCAAACCAACACACTTGGGGAGCGAGGGAGACTGAGAGGAGAGGAGACAGGTCACTAGGAGACAATAGAGGAGGAGGGGGGAGTTTCTCAAGTCCCACCCCTCCCCACACCCATCCCCGCCCGTATTGCTTGGGCGGAGAGCCACAAACTAGAAATTGAAACGGGCCCGGCGTCAAGTTAATTCCCACGGTCACAGCGCCAAATCAATTGAGCGGTTGGAGACGGTGTGATTTACACCACGGCAAAGTCATTCGCTTCGTAACACCGCTCCCTTCGCCTCTTGTCTTGCCTCTCGCCTCTCGCTTGTTTGTCCCCGTTTTCCACTTACTTCTCGTCTCTTAGTGCACTCATCCGATTCCCCCCCACTCCACCACCCCCCCTC